CACTTTATCTTTTATCGAAAAGATCATATTGATAAGAACACTCTCCCACAGAAGCCTCACTATTAATAATCTACTGTCATTATTACACCATAATACTGGTACACATCACTTTAATTTGTTAGGCAGATCTATAAAATACAATCCATTAACAAAAGATGCATGCACAAGAAGTTGAACTGTATAACTACTGTTATGCAACTACTTACTATAATATATGTCCTACTGTACTGTATGTACTACTGTCCTATTCTATACTGTATACTACTGTCCTACTGTCCTGAATGTACAAGCTACTCATGTACTGTGTCCTATACTGTACTGTTTTTACATGTACTACTGTCCCCACTATCCTGCTGTGCTGCTGTCCTACTGTCCTGCTGTACTGTATGTACTGCTGTCCTACTGTCCTGCTGTCCTACTGTACTATATGTCTTGCTGTCCTACTGTCCTGCTGTGCTGTATATGTCCTGCTGTCCTACTGTCCTGCTGTACTGTATGTACTGCTGTCCTACTGTCCTGCTGTACTGTATGTACTGCTGTCCTACTGTCCTGCTGTCCTACTGTACTATATGTCCTGCTGTGCTACTGTCCTGCTGTGCTGTATATGTCCTGCTGTCCTACTGTCCTGCTGTGCTGTATATGTCCTGCTGTACTGTACGTACTGCTATCCTGCTGTCCTACTATCTTGCTGTACTGTATGTACTGCTGTCCTACTGTCCTGCTGTACTGTATGCATGTACTGCTGTCCTTTATATGTACGGCCTACTGTGCTGCATTATGCATAGATATGAATGGGCATTGCACTACTTGTAGACCCTACCCATAATGATGCAATTTAGCATTACATCATTTGGATACCTGGTACATGAGCAATAAGCCGAGATTTAGCAGTTGTAATTTTATGTGCATCTGAAAGAAGAGGTTCTGGTAGGCCAAGATTAAGTATTGGTGAAGAACAGTTGGTATATCTTGTTGAGCAACGATTTCGTATTCAAGATATTGCCAACATGTTCGGTTGCAGTAATTTAACAATAGAAAGAAGGATGAAGGAATACCAGATCTCTATCTTCAATTCAAGTACTATCAGTGATGTTGATCTTGATTCGCATGTCAGAGAGATTACTAATCTATTCCCAAGGTGTGGTGAGAAAACCGTTTGTGGCAGACTAAGGAGCTGTGATATTAGAGTGCCTCGTCAGAGATTAAGGGAGTCCTTACACAGAGTCGATCCATCTGGCATCATTAGTCATTGTAAAGGCATGCTACACAGAAGGAAGTATCAAGTCCCTTGTCCAAATGCATTATGGCACATTGATGGCTACCATAAATTGGTTCGTTGGAGGTTCATCATTCATGGTGGAATAGATGGCTATAGTAGGCTAATCACCTACTTAAAAGTTGCAACCAATAACCAATCATCAACTGTATTGAATGCATTCATTCAAGCAGTCCAAGAATTCGGTTTGCCATCTCGTGTTCGTATGGACAGAGGAGGAGAAAATATTGAAGTTGTCCGTTACATGCTAAATCATGTAGATCGTGGTCCTGGTAGAGGTAGTGCCATCACAGGCTGTAGTACCCATAACCAACGTATTGAGAGACTTTGGCATGACCTTTATAGTGGATGCATATCTTTCTTCTATTCCTTCTTTTACTTTTTGGAAGATGTTCAATTGTTAGATGTTGATGATCCGAGAGACATGTATGCCCTCCACTTTGTATTTGTGTCTGTTATACAAAGGCACTTGGATCTTTTTAGAAGTGGGTGGGCCCAGCATTCCATACGTACCGAACATAGCAAGACTCCCACTCAACTTTGGATAGCTGGGCTTCATCAAACTCAACATGAAGAAGTTATTACGGGTTTAACAGTAAGTTTAATTTATCTTTTTAATTTTGAGTTTCCCTTTTTATGAGGCTGATTGGGACAACTATGGTATTGATTGGGATGGCCCCGTCCCACTTGTTAAAGACTATGTTGTGCAGGTTGCAGAAGTCAGTGAACTGTTAACTCATGATCAGAAGGCAGAGCTACAACAGCAGTTAAACGACCTTGATTTAAACTTATTCTCACAAGTAGACATGCTTCGTCAGTATGTGGTTACTAAACTATATATATTAAATTACAATGAAACTGTCCTTTAATATTTGAATTATACATTTAATGTAAAAATGCATGTACAATTGTACATGCAGTGAAATGAGTCATCATGAACAAATATAATATTGGATATTATGCCTGTGACAAGCATAAAATATAATGAGCAAAGACATAATGACATAATAAGATATATCTTTTTTAGTGCGGTTAACTACTCATAATCAAGAAACAGTATTGTTACTGTATGGACTACACCTTCAATTGGTATAGCATAGTGTAGCATAGCTTCAGTACCTGGGGCAGGTGACCTGTAAAATAAGATCAAGCAAGTGGGAGGCAACGGATACTCTACTCCACCAAAATTATCAATATCTTCTTTATACAACTATAATAATACAATAATAAAAGGTTTGTTCCAAGGACATTAGCGTATTTGAGAAAAGGATGTGTTGAGACTTGCAGTAATGTAATGGTAAGTGGTATGTGATGTACATGTACATGTATTTGAGTTAATGGATTGCTGAGTAATTGTAATGGTAATTGCCACAGGCCTATGTCACTGACTGTACATGGATGTATTTATCAATATGTCTCAGATAAACCCATTACTATTGACATTGCCTTTTGAGCACAGATGGCAATACAGTTACCATTGCCATTACTGGCAATCATTAGTTTTGTAATAACAATTCACTGCTGTACACCTTCCTCTCTTTCCTCTTTGTTTCTCTATCTCTTTAGTGTCACCATTTTCTTGATGCATCAAGCTTAGGAGATATTGACTTCATCAATGAGTCTTGCATTCAAGTAAAGTCAATTGTACATTTTCTCTTTTTATGTTTCTTTCCATGTTTGTAGACTTGTTGTCTTTCAAGATCTGAAGATCAGGGCATGAACATGTATATTATGCATTGTTGTTTTTTGTTATTAAAATTGTTTTTAATAATTATTATAATGCGATAGCTGCAGTCCATGAACTAATGCCACGCCATAAAAGCCAAAAGCAGTCTAGGCAAAGATTCTTCATTTGATCCAGGGATGAGAAACTGACCTATTGGCTCAATACAGTAGTTGGATAATGGTAAAAACAATAATTATTTTCAAGTGAGCTAGCAGTGCAATTCTGATTGTTGTCTGGTATCAACAGGTAGGTATGCACAATTAGTTGTTTTTAAAAATAAAAGTACTAATTTTGAATTCACAACTACAGAGATAATCAGCTAAACGTGCTTTCTGCATACTTAATAAGGGGGTGGGGCTGAAGGTTTTTAGCTGAAAACTCCAAGGTTTTACATCAAAAGTCCAAAAAACTGGAATGATGTGCTTAATAAAATTATTAGCTAGTGCTACAGCAAGGATGACAGTTAAATGCAATCGTCAATAAAAATTTGTCAGAAGTAGCTGATTTGCTTTTCAAGCCCTGTAAACCAATAAATGGCTACATTATGCCTGAAAATAAGTTTTTAGTCAAAATAG